GACATACAAGATGATCAGAGGATTAGATAGGGTGGACAGTGGGAGCCTTTTTCCTTGGATGGTGATGGCTAGCACAAGGGGACATAGCTTTAAATTGAGGGGTGATAGATATAGGACAGATGTCAGAGGTAGGCTCTTTACTCAGAGAGTAGTAAGGGCGTGGAATGCCCTGCCTGCGAAAATAGTAGACTCGCCCACTTTAAGGGCATTTAAATGGTCATTGGATAAACATATGGATGATAATGGAATAGTTTAGGTTTGATGGGTTTCAGATTGGTTTCACAGGTCGGCGCAACATTGAGGGCCGAAGGGCCTGTACTGCGCTGTAATGTTCTATGTTCCATGTTCTTATAACTTGCACAACTTATTTTAATTTGAAATTTGCCTTGCATCTTGGAACAATTTAGAACCTGCTGAACTAATGGTAACTTTTAGCCATACAGATCCATAAAAATGCTGACAAACTGAATGACAAAACGATAGAAACTAAGAACAGAACTAAAACATTCGCAACTATTTTGAAGTAGGAGACCATTGCACGGAAAGCCTCAGTTAAAATAAGACAAGAATAAACCCGATACATTTTTGAAAGTCATTACATTACATGGTCTGGTAATTTTGTAATCAACATGGTCAATTTAAGCTGGATTTTCACTCTCCTAAAGGGAAAGTCAATGGTAAAGTCATCAGGAAACAATGTGGAAAACAAACTAGTTTGCAGACATAGATGGGAAGCGACGCAGCAAACATTTCAAACTCGGAATGCACGAATACAGCAACTGCTAAAAATTGCATATTTGCTCAAGTTGTTAGAGTTAATTGTAAAAAGCAACAACTATACAAGAGGTGATGATCATAATACAGTCATTAGTAGCAACACTGGTGATTAAATTTAGTTTCACTACATATAGCTAGGAGAAAAGTGTCAACAAATTGCAGATATTTGTAATGTGTACATATTCTCAGCTACTGTCCCATTTCAGAGATTTAATAAAATTATTTAAACCTACTTCATTTAAATTGCAAAATTAACAAAATTAAGTTGTAATGGAGAGACTTAATTTTTAAAATTTTATTTACTTTGATGCAAGTCTGCCAATAGCCAAGAAAACAATTCTTGTTCAGAAACAATTGTTTACAGAACAATATAACATTAAGCTCAACAGTAGACCACTCATGCTAAAACTATTAAGAACAAAATGTTTATGCTTATGCAACAGTACATCAGTGAACTATCATTAAAATGATATTTTCCATTAGAACCAGGTATGACATTATTCATTTCTCTCAAGTTGCCATCCATCAAGTTTTCAAGTGAAAGTTTTCAACCAGTCTGACTAAACATCTTGATGATATCGGTTTTAACATGGTGATTTGATGCAGAAAAATGGGATCAGCGTGACATTCAAATTTAACAACTTTGATGAGAAAACAGACTTGCACAATTAGCTGTTCACTGCAGCTGCTTATACTATCATAGATAAAACAAAAGTCAGTTTATTAAGATATGTTAATAAAATCAGGATCAAAAATATTGAAGCTTTTCAAAGAGTTTAGCAGGGAAACATGGATTAATGCCTAACTACAAGACAGACAAAGTGCATAATTTGAAAAAGTATTGACTCAATGGCGATTTGACTGAAGTTGATAAAAACATGAAGGAACTAGATTATATTTGTTCTCAAATATCTAAAAGAGTCAAAGAAGAATCCTTCAGACTTGATCTAATGAGCCAGAGTTTTAAATCCGCTTTTTACTTCTCCAGAAGATCACATTGTTTTAGGCAGGTGAGAGTTTTCTGTGTTGTAATATGAAGAACAGGGGTAGCAAATGCCAATAGCAACACTGCCAGCTGCAATTTCCACTCCAAGCAACACACCATCCTATCTTGGAAATATCACTCATCCTTTTTGGTTGCAGGGTTGAAATCCTGGAATCCTCTACCTACGTAGACATGAGTACTTATGACAGACTGGATTGACTAATATGTTTAAAAATAGAAACAAGATAACTAAACAGAAGGACACAACATTTAAATGATGCTTACATTTAGTTACTTTACATACACAAGCACAATATACTTTTTATTGCATATAAATTTGGTTGCCTAGTTTCCAATAATTCAATAGTGAACACACCTCAAATATAATTATTTGGTTACTAAATGCCTTGCAACATCCGGAGGCTACTAAAAGCATTACATAATTTTTTTTCTAGATGGTTGTGCATGTAAAACCAGGAAATAATTTGCGAAACCACAATCCATTGTTAAACATAATTTAACTCAGAATTGAGGTCACACAGCAATTGTTATATCCATCAGTTCTATTGGTGCATTGAGATATCAGGTAGTCCAAGTCAAATTTCATAATAAGATGCTCTGACCACTCAATAAAGGCAACTGACATTACTGAATCAGGCAAAATATATATGGCAGACCCAAACTTGTAACGGCAGTGATAATGGAGCATAACTCCAACCCTCAATATTTTTTAAGAGTTTTGAGATTTTTTGCTGTCACTTAAGCTTTGCTGACAGCAATTTTAGTTGCTCACAGTACGATGTGAAAGAATATGCATATATCTTAAAGATAGGTAGGGATGAGTTAGCTCAGTTTGCTGGATGGCTTGTTTGCAATGCAACAGAGCAGGTTCAATTTTCACACCTAGCTGAGAATACCATGAAGGATTCTCCTTCTCAACCTCACATTTTGCTTAATCCTCACGTTAAACCCCACCAGTCATCTCTCTAGTGAGAGAGCAGCCCCATGTTCTGGTAAGACAACGGCAACTTTCTTGACTGATTCTAATATAAAGTGTTCAAAGTAAAATCATTCATTAGACATGTGCTCCAGCTCACAGTCTGGTAACTGTGTTGATATATGAATTATTAAGTTCACTGAGGGTCAGAGACTCTAGATTTTTGAGTCATGTCAAAGCTTTTTGCAAGACTCTGCTGTGATGGAAAAATGCAGCAAACAGCAAGAATATTAACTTTTTTAATACTTAATGAGACACAAAGTAAATGAAGCTGATCTCTTGTGGTGTTGCCTATGGTAAATTATACAGAGTTTCATAAAGGACAGGTTGTTTCTCATTCATTCATTGGATGTGAACTTCACTGACCCATGCAGTGCTGCCCCGAGAAGGTGATGAGCTACCTTCTTGAACCATAGCAGTATCTGTGGTGTAAGAAAATCCTCAGTAATATTAGGGAAGGAGTTCCAGGATACAACAATGGAAGAATAATACATTTACAATCAGGCTGGTACATAGTTTGCAATGGAACTAACAGTTGGCAGTGCTCCAATGCATCGGCTACCTCTGTGTTTTTTCTTAAAGTGGTAGACATTTGGAAGGCATAGTCAAAAGAAACTTGACAAACTGCGGTGCATCCAGACCAGCAATGGTGGAGAGAGTAAATGCTTAAGATTGTGGAGATGGTGCAAATCAAATCAGCTGCTTTGTCTTGGATGGTGCGGAGTCTATTTCAGTTTGTTGGAGTTTGTACTCAGCCAGGCAAGTGGACAGTATTTCACTGCAGTCCTGAATTGCAGATGGTGGAGCAGGCATTCAAGAGTCAGGAGATGAATTACTCTTGATCATCAGCAAACTTATGGACACTCCTATCGTGTGGCATTTGCTCAAAAATAACTTGGTCAATGATGCTTGGGTTCCTTCAAGATTCTTGACAACATTACAGCTTTGATCGAAACATGGCTAAAATTTAAGAAGTGACATGGGATTATCATACCATGTATAGCAATGAAGGAGCCCAAACAAAATTACAGTTAATGGGAATCAGAGGGAAAATTTTCCACACACTGGAATCGTATCTAGGACAGAGGAAGTTGATTGTGGTTGTTGATGGTCAATCGTCTTAGTTCCAGGACAGCTCTGCAGGAGCTCATCAGGCTGAACCTCTTCAGTTGCTCCACCAGTGACCTTCCATCACGACACAATCAGACGTGAGATGTTTACAGATGACTGCACAATGTTCAGCATCATTTCCACTTCCTCAGATACTGAAGCAGTCCATGTTCAAATGCAACAAGACCTGGACAACATCCAGATTTGGGCTGACAAATGGCAATGGCAATTGAGAGTCGCACCACGTGAATGTCAAATAATGTCCATCTCCAAGAAAAGGGAGACTAACCATTGCAACGTGGCATTCAATGGCATTACCATTGTTGAAACCTTCACTATCAACATCCTGGGGGTTACCATTGACTAATCATATAAATGCTTCAATTACAAGAGCAGGTCAGAGGTAAGGAATCCTGCAGCAAGTGACTAGCCTCCTGACTCCCCAAAGCCGGCCCAAGGCACAACGCAGGAGTGTGATGGAATACTCCCTACTTTCCAACCCAGAAACGCCTCAATTCATTAACCTATTGCCAAGCTTTATATTCTTTTCAAAATCGTGAATGTATTGGAATTCCTAAGATTTCTACTTACATCCTCTACAAAATGGCTACTTCATTTCCTGCACTGCAACAGTACCTACATTTTAAAAGTACTTCATTGACTGCTATGCACTTTTAGATACTAGGTGGTCACAAAGTCATCATATGAATGCAAGACTTTCATTTTTCCTGTGACAATAACATCGCCCCATTATGCAGAAACATGCTGGGAGAATTGATATAACTATTTATGTTGAAAGTTTCTGAAGTGACCTACCTTATCTAATTATTCTTTTGTAAGCAAAGAGAAGAATGTTTTAAGTGCAGATAAAATTATGAATGATCATTTAAAAATCTAAGCACCCATATCTTCAGTGCACCTACGAGACCAAGTTTCTCGAAAAATACAGCAGTTACCAGGAAACATTTTTTCAAAAAACCACAAATAGCAACTAACATGCATTTAGTGCAACACTATTTGTTTAAAAAAAATGAATTTGAGCATGCTTGCAGACCTTTTCTGTGTGTACATTAATTGAGGTCTCAACAGGTTATTCAAACATGAACAAGAAATGAATAAACATTAGCTCACCTGTTGATAAAAGAAATTTAAACATGGCTTGTCTTCATTAAACTCATTCAGGAAACCTTTAGGTAGATATCTGATTCTTAACTCATATCTAGGAGAATAAAAGAAAACATTAAATTGGCTGTCAATTTTAAAGATGGCAACAACGTTGAATACTTCTTGATTGCCTTTAAGAAAGCATTGTTGAAAATCTGAAAATATGCAAACCTTTGTTGGAATGACTAAGTACTTAAAAAATCTTATGATCTATTATTACTACGTACATGGTTTGAAGACATTCACGTATATCAGGAAAGACAAGAGTCCCAATACTAATGCTTGAGGAACTCCTTCAAACTTTCCACCAGTCCCAGAAATATCCAATGATCATGACTCTCTGTTCCCTATCACTCAACCAATTTGTACCCACGTTGTTATGTATCTCGAAGGCCGCCTTGGAGGACGCTTACCGGAAAATCAGAAGCTGAATGTCCTTGACCGCTAAAAGTGTTCCCCGACTGGGAGGGAACATTCCTGTCTGGCAATTGTTGCACGGTGTCCATTCATCCATTGTCGTAGCGTCTGCATGGTCTCAACAATATACTATGCCTTGGGGCATTCTTCCATGCAGCGCACGTGGTAAACATTGACCGAGTCACGAGTATCTGCCGTGTATGTGGTGGGTGGCGTTCCCACATGTGAAGGTAGCATCCATGTCGATGATTTGACATGTCCTGCAGAGGTTGCCCTGGCAGAATTGTGTGGTGTTGTGGTTGATATTCTCCGAAAGGCTGGGTAGTTTGCTGTGAACAATGGTCTGTTTAAGGTTTTGCAGTTGTTTGAAGGCGAGAAGTGGAGGCGTAGGGAAGACTTTGGGGAGATGCTTGTCGTCATTGATGACATGTTCTTCACAGCCTTCCACATGGTATAGTCTTTCTGCTCCGGGGAAGTACTGGATGACAAAGGGTACTCTATCAGTCATATCTTGCATCTGTTTTCTGAGGAGGTCACTGCGGTTTTTCGCTGTGGCATGTCGGAACTGGTGATCGATAAGCTGAGCATCGTATCCCACTTTTATGAGGGCGTCCTTCAAAACCTTTAGGTGGCTGTCGCGTTCCTCCTCGTCTGAGCAGATCCTGTGTATACGCAGGGCTTGTCCGCAGGGGATGGTTTCTTTAGAATGTTTAGAGTGGATGCTACAGAAGTGCAGCATTGAGGTTATCTGTGGGTTTGTGGTAGAGTGAGGTAACTGAGGTGACTGTCCTTGACGAAGGTGCGTGCGTCCAAGGATGAGACTGAGACTGATTCTGAAGAATAATTCATGATAAGTCTGATGGTGGGATGAAAATTGTTGATATCGCTATGTAGTCGTTTCAGTGATTCCTCGCCATGAGTCCAAAGGAAGAAAATGTTGGCATATAACGTTGGTCGGAGGTCTTGCACAGCGAAGAAGTCTTGCTCAAATTTGTGCATGAAAATGTTGGCATATTTGGGTGCAAATTTAGTCCCCATGGCTTTTCCGTGTGTTTGGATAAAGAACTGGTTGTCAAGATGAAGACGTTATGGTCGAGGATGAAGTGGATGAGTTGCAGGATGGCGTCTGGAAACTGGCAGCTGTTGGTATTGAGAACTGAGAGGCGAACAGAGAGACTACGCCATGTTTTTCGCAGCCTTCAACATGTCATCGATGACGACAAGCATGTCACCACGATCAACCCTATGCCTCCACTTCTCACCTTCAAAACAACAGCCAAACCTGTTAAACAGACCATCGTTCATAGTAACCTATCCAGCCTTAAGGAGAACATCGACCACAACACCACACCACCTGTCATGGCAACCTCTGCAAGACATGTCAGATCATAGACATGGATACTACCATCACCCATGGGAACACCACCCACGATGTACACTGCAGATACTCATGTGACTGCCAATTGTCTACCTCATACGCTGCAGGCAAGGATGCCCCAAAGCATGGTATGTTGTCGAGATCATGCAGACGCTACAGCAACGGAAGAACGTACACCGTGTGACAATCGCCAGACAGGAATGTTCCCTCCCAGTCAGTGAACATTTCAGCAGTCAAAGATATTCAGCTTCTGATCTTCGGGTAAGCGTCCTCCAAGGCAGCCTTTGAGATACACAACAATGCAGAATTGCCAAGCAGAAACTGATAGCCAAGTTCCATACCCACAAAGATGGCCTCAACCGTGATCTTGGGTCATGTTGCATTATGTGAGACCCCACCATACTGTTCTGTATCTGTAAAATCTTCCTTACCGTCCTGTTTTGTCACCATCACCTGGATAAATTGTTATGGTCTCTCCATGTTAGAGTTTGTACAGTTTTGGATTACTTATTATTTTGGTTAGACCCTCAGCATGCGACTCTTATACCTATCATGTTATTCCAGTCATTTGGTTTGTCTCCAGCACCAACGTTTTCTTAAAATTTTTTGTAATTATCTCTCTGCCTCATTTAATCAGATTATAGGTCATCCCTTCGCTTGTTATTTAGCTACTGACACTTCACTCACACCGTCTAACACTTTGGGTCTCCTGCAGGGACTTATTATTCAACACTCCACTCACACCATCTATACAATCTTTTCGCCCTTGATCGCTCTGCCCATATATTCTGTGTTGTGTGTGTACCTCTCGCACTTTATCTGTCGAAAGGGGCTACGCTCCGAAGGCTTGTGATTTCAAATAAACCTGTTGGACTATAACCCGGTGCTGTGTGATTTCTGACTTTGTCCACCCCAGTCCAGCACCAACACCTCCATATTATTAACAACTTATACTAAGGAATACTTAAGACCCAATCTTTTTTGTGCCTTAAGCCCAGTCTCTGCTATTGCCACATTATACTTCCAGTTAATCTTCAGCTATAACTCCCCAACCTTATTTATTATGCACTTACATATATGCCGTTAACTCTGTCTTGGACTTCATTTCTTTCTCCCTTACTCCAACTTCGCCTGCTAAATTGCCATTCTCTGTGCTAGTGCTATCTGTATACCCAGATATTTTACATTCCCTAGTATTCGCCTCTATTCCCACACACTTGCCAAGTTAATTTAAAGCCCTCCCACCAACACTACCAAAATACCCTGGAAGGAACTCGGTACCAGCTCTGTTCAGATGCAGCCTGACCAACTTGTAAAGGTGCTTCTTCCCCAGAGCCAGTCCAAGTGTCCCAGGAAGCTAAAGCCCTCTCTCCTGCACCATCTCTCCTGCCACGCATTCATCTGCCATATCCTCCTATTTCTGTACTAACTGCAAGTGGTACTGGGAGTAATCTAGAGATTTTTACATTTCAGATCCTGGTTGCTAACAATCTACCTAGATCCCTAAATTCTGATTTCAGAAGCACATCCCCTTGCTACTTTAGTCATTATTACCAACGTAGACACCACCTTGGGCAGTTCACCTTTCCCAGAAGAATGTCCTGGAGCTGCCATGTTACATCCTTAACAATGACATTAGGGAGGCAACACACCATCCTGGAGTCATGTTGACAGCCAGAGAGGCCGGTCTGCTCCCTAATCAATGAACCCCTATCACTATCAGTTCTCCTTTCTTCTCTCTCCCTTCCGGTATAGTCTGACCATTCACAGTGCCGGAAGCTGGGCCCTGACTGCACTCCCTCGAGGGCCCAGCAGTCTGATCAGCTTCCAAAATGGAAAATGGATCAGAAAGGGAGACACAAAGGGACTCTTGCACCACCTGCTGCTTTCTCTTCCACTGCCCTAATGGTCACCTAGTCCCTTCCTTCCTCTTAGGCTGCGGTGTATCGACATTTCTAAGTGTGCTAGTCACTTAACTCTTAGCTTCACACATATGCTATAGTGTCTTCAGCCGCTACTCGAACTTTAAACTCGTCAGCTTCAGGCAAGGGGCTCAGGGCAGGATATAAATGGAAGCCGAAGCCAAAGATCCAGGTAGTCTTGCATCTTCACGATTTAGTTGTTATTCCGTCACTGTTATGCTGTTTTGATTATAATGTATTATCTTTCTTACCTCCATTCCTCTGCAGGATGATGCTGCTCAAATTTTTCACGTACATGTGAAACGCCCATGTCTGGATGCAGCCAGTGGACCTCTTCAGAATGCATATGACTGAGTCGAATTCCAAAGCAGGCCACATTCTTAACTTTGTGAGAATCTACAATCTTCTGAATAATACCCTGAAACATGACAAATATGCAATTGAATCAAATTGTACAACACAGCAAAAGAAAAGGTATAACTGTCTGGCTTAACTTTTGAAATCAACTCATTTAACCTTCTGCCTAAAGTTAATAACCTACTACAGATTTAAAAATTATGATAAGGTATGATTTACTTCTGGGGTTAAAATATGGCAGCAAAACATACAAGCAGTATGCTGATAACAACGCACTACTTGCAGAATCTGAAAACACCCCTATAAAATATTGTACTTGAAGTAAAATCTGGAAGTTTTGAATATAGACGAATATCAAAAAGTCAAAATAAAAATTAGAAGAAATACATTACAAGAAACTAAAGCGAATTTTGAAGTGGATAGTGTTACACTGGACCATGGCTAAGTTTCCCTAATCAGAACAAATGATAACAGAAGTTGGCAGATGTGTTGCAGGAGTTATAATGAACTCACAAATAGCCCAAAGTAATTTTATGAAGCTGAAGTGTTAACAACTCAACAAGAAACTTTAAGGTTGTAACAATGAAAAATTGTTACATTCTATCCATTTCCTTCATGCCTCAGAAAACTGGACAAAGATCTGTGGAATAAAAATTCGATATGTGGATACTAAGATGCACGCTAAAATATGTAAGATAAATAAAGTGGTACCTGAAATTGTAAGAACAAAAAGGACTCTAAAAAGAGGCATTCTGAGCTGAAAAGCTAAAAAGATCTATTCTAGAACTCAAAGCAGACAAGGGTCAACCTAGGCATGGAATGGACAGCAAATAACACAAAATTGTTGCAGACAAGGATGGTGCGAGACAAGTTAGTGTTTTATACCATGACAGTCTCTAAATTCAAAACTCTACAGATTCTGGAATGTTAAACTGGAAAACCATAGAATCCCTCCAGTGTGGAAGCAGCCCATTCGGCCCCGACCCTCCGAAGAACATCCGAACCAGATCTACCCCACCCCACCACCTTGTAACCCTGCATTTCCTATAGCTAATCCACACTACCTTGTACATTCCTGGATACCACAGACAATTGAGCATGGCCAATCAATCAAACCTGCACAACATTGGACTCTGGGAGAAAACCAGAGCACCCGGAGGAAACCCACGCAGACATGAGGAGGATGTGCAAATTCCACACAGATAGTTGCCCAAGGCTGGAATCGAACCCAGGTCTTTGGCCGTGTGAGGCTAAACACTGGAGCCACTGTGCTGCCAGTTTAACTTAACCTCATCAGCTGCAGAAAGCTTTGGCTTACAACCAATGTCAGAAACCTTCAGTGTGTACCAGCAGCCCTATGCCTCCCACAAACAAGTGGAAGTGCCTAGAGAAAGAAGATTGAGAAGCAGTAAGTCCTAACAAGCCAAAAGGATCATCTCAGCAAACCCCACGGACAGGGACCAATGAACCAATGTCCCAATCTTTCAGTCCACTCATAGTACCTATAACGTTTGCTGTGAACATGAAAACTTTAAAAGCAGGTTAGAGTTTTAAACAGTAGTTATATGTTGACTGTTCATAATTGTTTAACTGTAGCTAAAATCTTTATTTTTATTAAAATCGGGGAATTTTTTCATTTTAAATCTTTAACTTCTGCGACAACTCAAGGAATAGTGGGGCTTGATTTCCAGCACATTACTCCAGAGAGTTACTGCAAAGATCAGTCCTTGGGCCCAAGCTGTTCACAATACATATCAATGATTTGAATATGGAGACCAAATGAAACATTTCTAAATTTTCAGATAATTCAAAGCTAAGTGGGAATATATGTTGTGAGAAAGATGTAAAACATTTCCACGATGATTTGGATAGATTTAGCAATTGAGCAAGAACATAGCAGATGGAAAAATGTGACGTTATCCACTTTGGTAGAAGAAACAGATGTGCAGAGAATTTCTTAACTGTGGAGATGTTGGAAATTTAAATGTGTAAAGGAGCTTGATTTTCATTGTCAATAAGTCACTGAAGGCTAACATGCTGGTGCAGCAAGCTATTAGGATGGCTAATGAATGTTAGTCTGAAAACATATTTGTGTATAGGAGTAGTGAAGATTTGCTTCAATGGAACAGGAGCTTGGTTAGCTAGCAGCTGGAGTACTGTGTGCAGTTTTGGTCTCCTTATTGCTATTATTCCATAGTCGAGTGTGCAAACAAGGTTCCTCAGACTGGTTTCTGTGATGGTAGGAGCGTCCCATGAAGAGACATTAGACAAACTGGATCAGTATTCTCTAGGGTTTTGAAGAATGATACGTAATTTTATTCAAACCTATAAAATACTTCAAGGAATACCGACAGCTACATGCAGGTAAGATGATTTCCTTGGCTGGGGAATCCAGGGTGAGTGTGGGGGGTTAATTTAAAAATAAGAGGGATGTCTTTTAGAACAGAGATGAACAGAAATACTTTACTCATAGGTGGTGAATCTTTGGAAGTCTCTACCCCAGAGGGCTGTGGAAGTTCATTCTTTCAGTAGATTTAAAGTAGAAGTGGATACATTTTTGATTATCAATGGTGTAGAAGTATATGGGAACAGTGTGTGTGTATGCAGTTTTAAGTATTCAATGAGCCATAATTACACTAAATGGTGGAGCAAGCTCAACAGGCTCAACGGCCTACTCCTGTTCCTCTGAATACCAGGACTGCTGGCACATGCAAAAATAGACGGTGATGTCAATTTGCCATGATGCAGCCTTCTTCGCCAGGATGTGTTTGCATGTAGATACCATGGACTGTTTGTTATAATGAGCTTTCCTTGTGTTGAAAAGAGAGCCTCTCTCGCCCAGTGACAGTCCACTACAACCCTGAAGGGTGTTAAACACACAGACATCAGAAACCCATTAATCTGACAGATAACGATTACAGAAAGGAGAAAAAAAGAACAGAATGTTATTTAAATGGAGAAAAACTGCAGAAAGTGACAACACAAAAGGGGCCTGGGGGTACTTGTGCACGAAACACTAAACTAGCACACAGGTTCAGCAGGTAATGAGAAATGTTAATGGAGTGTTGGCCCTTATTTCAAGGGAGTCAGAGTATAAGAGTAGAAGTCTTTCTGCAACAGTACAAGGTGCTAGTGAAACCACATCTGGACTACTATGAACAATTTTGACCCCTTTGGAAAGATATCATTTCACTGGAGGCAGAGAGAAGGTTCACCAGGTTGATCCATGGTATGAAAGGATTATCTTATGAGCAAAGGATAAATAGGTTGGAGGGTCTACTCACTGCAGTTAAGAAGAATTAAAGGTGATCTCATTGAAACATATAGGTTCTTAAGGGGCTTGACAGGGGAAATGCTGAGAGGATGTTTCCCCAAATGGGAGAGTGTAGGACCAGATGGCATTATCTCAGTACAAATGTAATGAGGAGGAATTTCTTCTCTCATATGGTTATGGGTCTTTGAAGGTCCTTGCTATAGAGAGCTGTGGGGGCAGTGTCCTTGTGTATACTTAAGACAGACACAGATTCTTGATCGGGGGAATCGAGGCTTATGGGGAAAGGGTTGGACTGTGAACATAAGGAATGTTGGATCAGCCATGATCCTATTGAATGATGGAGCATGCTCAAGGGGCTAAACAGACTTCTCCTGCTCCTGTTTGTTACGGTCTTATGATCTAAGAGCAGAATGCGGTGTGAAGCCAGCCCCTTTCCAGTTACTATTTTACAGCAACTGGGACTTGCGAAAGAGTCTTCAGTAAAATCAGGGAGAAATTGCTCTGCACCTCATATTGAAATGTTTTTAATTATCATCACAGCAACCAATGAAATGCTGTTAGTTTCAGTCAGCTGGCATTCAGGGATTTGATTCTGTCCTGCACTGAGATAATATGGGTAGTGCCATCTTTGTTCCAGGCAACTGCCAATCCAGTACCAAGTTGTGTTTGTGCACATGTGCCACTGCCAAACCATTTACAGATGGCATTCACAATCACTGCTCTCTATTTGACAACTGACCAGAAGTAATAAGGAGTCAAATAAATTAGTAAGTGACATCTGGAAAATACAATCTACAGGTTTGTGAACTGGTTGAAAATTAGCTAAGAAATAAATTATCTAACAAAAATGAAGCACCTACCAGGAAATCATAGAATCATATCACAGAATCATAGAATCCCTACAGTGTGGAAGCAGGCCATTCGCCCCATCGAGTACATACCAACCCTCCGAAGAGCATCCCACCCAAACCCATCCTTACCCTATCCCCGCATTTCCCACCCTACACACTAAGGGCAATTTAGCATGGCCATTCCACCTAATCTGCACATCTTTGGACTGTGGGAGGAAACCGGAGCACCCGGAGGAAACCCATGCAGATATGGGGAGAATGTGGAAACGCCACACAGTCACCAGAGGCTGGAATAGAACCTGGGTCCCTGGCGTTGTGAGACAGCAGTGCTAACCCCTGAACCACCATGCCACCATGTGATGTATCACACCAAAAAGATACTTCAAATAAAAACCTATCGTTGCCCAATGCTGCATGTCACTACAAGTATTCCAAAGTTTGAAACATTTCAACATTTATAATGCACCTGGCTGCTTTTCTTGAAATATAACAAAAGAAATGTAATAACAAATTCCATAATTTTGAACTTTTAAAATTGATCTGAATTTTTAAAAAGTCAAATCTAATTGTACGTTGGATCCAGATTCCCCCCTCAGTAAATTTTTGAGAATGTTCTGTGTTCAACAGCTTTTGATTCCATTCATTCATAATTTCTGTCCCCTAGCAGTCGTGCAATCATCATTTGACAGTTAATATTGATCTATTCAAATCAATGACCCTGAAATGAAATCACATAGCACTCAATCCACGTCAACTGCAAACATTTATTTGTCTTTAAAGTGGTCAGCAATGTTTAACTGAAATCACTGGAAATAACAGAGAAGGAACAAAGCTAAAACAAAAAACATTAAAGCAATTCCTTAACCAAGAAGCAATCAAGGAAGGAACTATGTAGCTATCGCAAGGGGTTTTCGACATTTTTCTAAGGACCAGATT